TTACTTGTTGGGAGACTTTTGATGGCAGGTACACTTTCCTTACTAATTTTAGGTTTAGTCATCTTTTTTATTTCTTCATGATTTAATCTTGATAGGTTATATGTTCCTCATAATTTATCTCTTTCTTATATGTATTGAAATTGCTGATATTTCATTGATCATCATAATCTCTTATGATCCTTTCAATTTTTACATCACCATTTATGTCTCATTTCTTTTCATTGTTGTTAAACTAAAAATTTGTCAATTTTGCAGATCTTTTAAAAGAAACCCACTTCTAGATTTGTTGATTTTTTAAAATTGTTTTTCTATTCTCTATTTTGTTCCTTACTTCAGCTAATTTTCAGTTTAGTCTCTTTTTTCCAACTTCTTGAGGTATAAAGTTAAGTTGTTGATTTTAGATAATCTTTTTTTGGGGGGGGTTAAACTCAGTACTGGAGTTTAAACTCAGGGCCTTATGCCTGCTAGTGAGTCACAGCTCCAGCCCTTTTTGCTATTGTTATTTTTGAGAAAGGGTCTCTCTTTTTGTCCATATATCTGTTAGGCCCACTTGATCTTGTCTTTTGAGTTCTCTGTTTCCTTATTAATCTTCTGTCTGGATCACTTATCCATTATTTAAAGTTTAGTATAAATATCTCCTACTAGTATTGTTTAATTGTCTAGTTGTTTCTCCAATTTTATAAATGTTTGCTTCATACATTTCGATGTTCTGCTGCTATGTGCATATATTTATAATATTTGTATCTTTCTAATGAATTGACCCTTTTATTATCATGTAATATATTCCTTTTTCTCTTGTGAGTAGTTTGAAGTCTGATGTAAGTGTGGCTAGTTTGCCTCCGCCTCAGTGTTTTCAAAATTAAATGAGAGAATGAGACTGTTAAGGATCTCACAATAAGTAAACTGAATGCTCTGAACTTGTTATTCATTAAAAGAAAATTGTGTTGTGTGTTTTCTGACATCCACTTTCAGAATTTTCTTAATAGCTATAGCAGACCAGCTTTATTATGAGAACAGCGTGTTTAAAGAGGATGGGATTCCAGTGATAGAAATACAGCAACACCTGGACTGATTGCCGGTTCCTCAAAGCAAGTATATATACAAAAGAAGGGAAACATCTTTAAAGCTATGCCCCAAACCAGCAGATGACCTCCCCCCCCACCCAACAGCCTTGGCCTACTCTTAAATGTACTGCAGCTATATAGGAAATAAAAACTCCACTCTCTTTTGTCTGTGCAGCCAGCCTGATATCTCTCAATTAGTGCTACTCTCCTTTTCCTTTTCCCCTATTCAATTAAACCTTGCTTGCAATGTTTATACACACACTACCTGAATTTCATTTCCACTGCAATTGAGTCAAAAGAGCCCATCTGTCTGGTAATGAGCCTGTATTTATTGAATATGCTGCATTTGAAGTGTGTATATTGTAGGTGGTATACAATTTGGGTAGTAGTTTTTAATCCTCTCTGAATATTTGAATGGGTATACTTAAACCACTATATTTAATGTAAACATTGATATTTTAGGGCTTGAGTCTGTTATTTAATTTTTCCTTTCTCTGTTTTTTGTTATCCTGTTTCCTTTTTCTATCTTTCTATTGGTTACCACTTCCACATTGATGTATTAATAATGTTTTAAAGTGTATCTTTTTGTCTAATGTTTCTAGTAACTGATTTAGATACATTTTATATTCATAACTATCTCAGTATACAATGTCATCTTACTATCAGCTCAAGGGAACTATAAAAGCCTTACCTCCACATCTTTTTTACCCTTTATAAGTGGGTTAAATATTTCCTCCATACATATTTAGAGCAACACTGAACTATAATCTATGCTTACCATTTAATATATTTTTAATCTCAAGAGAAGGAAGAGCTTTTTAATCCACACTTTTGATTGTGGTATTTCTTGATGTTCCAAGTTTCCTTCCTTTCATTTCTTTTCTGTATAGAGAACTTCCTTTAGCCACCTTTTTAAAAGAGTAGGCTTGATTTAGACAAATCTCTTAGTTTTTTTTATCTGATGATGTCTTGATTTTACCTGAATTTCTGATGGAAATATTCACTGGGTACAGAATTCTGGGTTGGCAGTTTTTTTTCTTTCAGCTCTTGAAAAACGTTGAGGTTTCTTTCCGGCCCTCTAATTTTTTGATGAAAAATCTACTATCATTCAGCATAATTGGTTTAGTCTGACAGGTAGGATACTAATTCTCTTTTGTGGCTTTCAAATTTTTTTTCCTTGGTGTTCAGTGTTGAGAAGTTTGATCACAATATATCTTAACGTGGATTTCTTGGGGTTTGTTTAACTTCTGGGATCTACTGGTTCATGTCTTTTGCTAAATTTGGTAACCAATTCTTGGTTACCATTCTTTTTTTTTTTTTAAGTTTTAGCAAGGATTTATTTTAGCATAACAGGATAAAGTATAGACTGGGGGACGGAGGGAAAGAAAAAGAGAGAAACATTTTCTGCCCTCATGCAGAAAATGGGAGCAAAGACTCAAAATGGTAGTTCCCAATTCTTAGTTTTATAGTGGAGAGCTGGAGCAATACACATGGTCAAAAAAAATGGCTTTGGATGACTGAGATGGCTGACAGGGAACGGTTACCCTCCCAAATCTCACCCTAAATCAGACACAATAGGATGCTTTACAACTTCCCTTTCCTAGACATGATTATTCTTCACCCCTTCAAAGATCCTTGCAGGTTCTGAATATCTCAAAGAGGAAAGCAAAAGGAGATAGCTCCTCTTTGTCTCCCTTCAACCATTATTTTCTTGAATATTTTCCTAGCTCTTGCCTCATTCTTCTCTCTTACCTCACTTGACTTACACTGACACAGGGGGTAGAGAGTGGTAGCTCCTACATTACTGCTGGGCAGTGTTGGGAATCCTGGCTCCTATGTGATTTCCACTAACAATACAGAGAGGAGTTTTACCCAGTTGAAAGTCTCAGCTCCCTACTCTTCCTTTTTTGACACTCTAAGAAAGTTGGAGCATGTCATTACTGATAAAAATAAAAGTCTAGGCCTCTATCTTGGCCTTTGCTGGAATGGACTGAGTTGGGGCCACAGGTGGTGTGTGTGTGTGTGTGTGTGTGTGTGTGTGTGTGTGTGTGTGTGTGTGCTGGAATGGACTGAGTTGGGGCCACAGGTGGGGTGTGTGTGTGTGTGTGTGTGCGCGCACAGGTTATTTTGTGAAAATTTTGACTTACTAGGGTACCCCTGTCCTCATCCCTTAGGTAAAGAGTGCTAGCTTTTTTGTTTTCCTATGTACATTCACAGTTCCAGGTTATAGGCAACTTCAATTACAAGTTGAGAATATACGAGACAGAAAGAAAGCCTAAGGAATTCACCACCAAACTCACCATCATTCTGTTTTTTGGGATTTGTGGGCCCTAGATAGTCTGATGTCTCTCCACATTTCCCAGTCATCCTGTGTTAATCTTATACATACATATCATCCAGGGTTTTTAATTGTAATTAGTAAGAAGATTAGGGAAAAGTATATTTATTCTATCTTCCCATTAACAGTTCTCCTTACTACCTTTTAGATTTCTTGTTTTGCTTTAGCTATGTTCCTCTTTTCATCCATACTATCAGAATACAAAGTAGGTTACTATGCAAATACAAGCAAAATTATGAAAAACAGGTTTTGCTAAGGGGGGGGTGTTACTAACAGAAGAGGGAGGGTAAAAGAAGGAAATTAAAAAGGTGAATATGATTGATGTAGTTTCTATGCAAGAACAAATATTGAATTTTTAAACCTGTTGAAATCACCATAAGGTGACTTAAGTAAAAAGGAGAAAAATAGAAGGGATGAGACAATTTAGGTTATAATACTTATATACAATGGAAAGTCCCTGTACAGCTATCTTAAACAAACAAAAACGACTTTTTTCAAAAATGGAGAACAGGAACATGAAACAGCTCCTGTCTGGGGTTGGTAGCAGTGGGAGGAGGGAGGATGGCAGGAAAGGGTTCAGGAGGATGAATGTAGTGAACTATTATATACTTGTGAATGAAAATGGAAAAATGAGACATGTTGAAACTATTCCAGGAATAGGGGGAGGGGAGATAAAGGGGAATGATGGAGGGAATGAACTCAACTATGATACATTGTAAGAACTTTTGTAAATGTCACAATGTACTCCCAGTACAATAATAATATAATAAAAAAGGAACCAAAACCAAAACAACAGAAAACTCCCAACAAAGTAGTGCTATTTCTGGTACTATAAGTTTTAAAGCATGCATTAACCATTTGATAGGTGTAGTCATCAGACTTTTCATCACTGTGACAAAACACCTGATATCAACACCTTAAGAGAAGAACCATTTATTTTGTTCACAGTTTCAAAGGTCTGGGTCCATCATGGCAGCGAGGGCATGCTAGAGCAGAGCAGCTCACAACATGGTAGCAGGAGCAGGTGGCAAGGTTACTCACCTCATGGTGGAGAGGAAGCAGAGAAAAAGGAAGAGACCAGAAACTACATATAACCTTCTAAAGCATGCCCCCAGGAGCTTTCTCTCACAAGCTAAATCACTCAAACTTTCCACCACCTCCCAAAATAGTGCCACCAGCTCTGGACCAAGTGTTCAATACCCGAGCCTACTGGAGACATTTCATATTCAAACCATAAAAATGGAGACATAAAGCAGTGATTCCCGAACATGAAAAGAACCCAGAGTTGTGGGTAAGACCTTTCTGAAGTTAATATTTTTTGATTTCTGTAAGGAGTTTTTTCATCATTTTCCTCCTGTAACTTTCATTTGGTGATATAACCTACATATGAATTTTTCTTATAATTCAATGTTTCCAGTAATTCGATTGTATCTTCCATCAAGATTAAAATTTTTGGACTGAAGTTATTTCTTATATTTACTTAGATTGTTAGTCTCCAGGGAGCACAATTAAAGAAAACTGTCAAAACTCAACAAATGAATTTATAAGTCATATAACATCTTTAATTAAATTAGTAAGTCATATAACATCTCACTTACCCAGTAATAATAATTTCTGGATATGTTTGTGTTCCAAGATTCCATGCTCCTCCACTGATAGGCCATTCCTAAATAGATTATCCAGAAGAATATGTAAGTTATACATATGTTTTACTTTGAATGACTTAGAAACTTAGAATGAAAATATTTTAAAATAATGATAAAAGGATCATTTAAAATTAAGTTGTTATAAAGTAATCAAAGATGAAGTAATAATCATTTAAATTTTCATTGAAAAACATCTCTCTAAATGCACAATTCCATCTCCTTTAAAAACAGATTTTAACCAATATCACCAAATTATGTAAACAATTAAAAGAAGTATTTTTAGTTGAATAAATACAACATTGCCACATGTGTCACATTTTGTATAAATATAAACTGCATAAATATAATGTTGCTAGATGTGTCTCAGTCTGTGTGTAAAGTATTATTGTGCCACTTAACATAAAATACTATGTAAATAGTGCCTCTTGGAGTTGTCCATGCTAATATAATAGGGTAAATAACCATAATCAGAATAGATGGTTTGTGACAATGACAATAATAAATATTTGAACCTTACAGAAAATATTTTTAAAGGAATTTTATAATGTTATTAACAAATAACTTTTAATAGTTATTTTTTAACCACTGATTAATAATAAATGATAAACCAAGAAGAACTCTTGAATTTCTTAAAATATACTCATCTAATTAAAGGTTATATCATATGATTCTAATACATTAAAAGTATATACTTCATATATAAATGTACATGACAGATAAGGATATCTCAGTATATTATTATGTATGTAATGTATAATAAGTTTATATTCTTCTATATTTAAAACTTTATAGCAGTTAGGAAATTTGTATTTCAGAAGTTATATCTTCAATAGATGCCAGCTTATGACTTCAAAAAAATTAATATGGAAAGTCATAAAATAAAATAATGGATAAGTATGACCATGCATATGAACATAAGAAAAATTCTTTATAGTTTGTACTTTTACCTTATTACTGTATCCTTGTTTTTTATGCTTGGCTCCTATAGAGTAGAGTACTAGGATCAAATCTGGAGGGCAATCAGCAAAATATGCTGTGCATGTAACTGGTGATTCATGAATGTCCATGGGATATGGATTTTCAAAGATTGGAAAACTAATAGACAAAAACAATATATTAGTGCCATTTTACAAAGATAAAGACAAAATAATGTTCACGAAGTAAACCTTAAAATGTTTCTAAACTTTAATCATAAACTTTGACTGATTGTTTTCTTGGTACTATAAAACAAGAATCATTCAAATTGAATGTTCTTCCTAATATAGTTATGTATAATCCTGCCTGGGAGGGTTGGTACCAGTTGGAGGGGGAAAGCATGGGAGAGTGAATACAGCACAAATGCTGTGTACACATGTATGTAAATGGAAAAATGATACCTGTTGAAACTATTCCAGAAATGGGTTGTGAGGGGTAAAGCAGAATGGTAGAGGGATGAATTCAAGTATGATATATTTGATATATTCTAAGAACTTTTGTAAATGTCACAATATAATCCCACCCAGCACAACAATAAAAAATGCAATATTAATGATGGTAGAAATTTCTCAAATTAATTTTCTGTTCAGACTCTGACATTTACAGTGACATAACTTTGCTAATATGAATATAATGAATTACATTAAACTGAAAATACTAGGGCTGGTGGAGTGGCTCAAGTGATAGAGTACCTGCCCAGCAAGCATGAGGTCCTGAGTTCAAACTCCAGTACCACCAAAACCAAAAACACAAAAAAGAGTAAACTGAAAATAATATGTAAAAGTAAATTTATTTAAAATTACATAAATTAGATATTTTATTTAATATACTTATTTAATAAGATACTAATATTAAAATGTCAATAAATTTTGATATGTTTTTCAAAGAGAGGTAATATATAAGCAAAATTTTAAATTTTTATAGGAGTAACTGAATAATGTATTTAGGGGTGTGTATGATAATTAATGATTTTAATGATTTAAAGATCATTTTCTATGTAAACTAGAGAACATAGATCGAATGAAGGCTTAAAGATACAATAAACTTCCTCAAAACTACTATAACTTAACAAAAGACATGAATAATGTCTTTTGTTTTTTTTTAATTGGGGAGAGGAGTAACTATAAAAAATAATATTCTCATAATATTTTTAGAAGCCTAAGTAGGAATTGCATTCAATCTCCACAGACTAGTGTTGGGGGGAGAGGAGGGTGAAGGAAAGTGGCAAGCATCTCTACTCACCAATCTGAAATGATGCACAGCATATGGCATCACAAATAAGGATAGTAATATATGCAATATGCATATAATAAACGCAATTCCACCAGGTGGAAAGGAGCAATTTATGTTTAGCAAGTAACAAGTATGTTAAACTTGGACAGGTGAAAAATTCTTTGAGATAGAGTATAAATCATTAATATTGGAAGTAAAATGAATTAATCACCTTGAAGACCAAATATACATCTTGGAATTTTGAAACAGTAAAAAGCAATGATAATAGATTCTTGACAATGTGAACAATATAGTAAAAATATTTGGGAAAAAGTAGTCTACAGGCAAAGAGTAGGCATTAAATATATTGAACAGAGAAATAATTTTTTTTTAAAAATTTACTATTGGTATTTAGATGCAAAAATGTAAACAAGATGCTGTGGAAATGGAAATGAAGATATGAATCTAAGGAACCAAGAAGAGGAAAAATTTGTATGCCCTTATGCTTGCCTTCATGTTGAGGATTAAATGGAAAGAAACAAAGATTTGTAAAGGACTCCGAAGATACAACTTGCTTAACAATCAACATGGCTGACAGGTTATATATGGAAGGAAAGAATATATTTAGTTTTGCTACATTAAATTTCATGTATTAAACAATGAAATGAGTATGTCACATAAATTTTAAAACATGGTGCTAAGTAAGGTAAAATGTTATTTAAAAATTTATGAACAAAATGTCAATTCATATATTTAACATAAGATAATCAGAAGCATAAGAACAAATTATAAAATAGTAAATTATGCTATACATAATAAAACAATAAAAATCTTTAAGTTAAAGGGTACATACTAAAGACAATGACTATTTAAGATAAAATATACAGTCCTTTGAAGACCTTGGACAAAGTGTGAGGAATCAACAAATAGGACTCAAAGAATAGCGGGCACCAATGAAATCAGAAAAGCACATTTTAATAAAACCTGTATTAGAACTTCTTCTAGGAAGAAGCGTAAATCCTCATGTTTGCACAAAACTAACCAAGTTTAATGTTACATTGGGCAGCTGATCGTAATTCACAGTTATGATCTTATGGTCCAAACCCTACATCTCCTTCAAAATACTGACATATCATATACTACAAATTAATATAAAGATGAACTATGGCTCTTACATTTACAAACTATGTGGAAAGTAGAATTTGGACTGTAATTGATTGAACAAAAATTCATTGAAAGCCTAACTCCATATATAGACATGGACTCCCCTTCATGGAACCTACAGTTTTATAGAGAGGCAATCTTTAAACGCCAAATGGAAAATTGTATGCTATAAAATGAGGATAGCGGGGACTATGCGAACTCATAATATGATACTTGACCAATTACATAGGTAATGAAAAATTTCTTTTTAATGAATAAGTGATATCTGAGTTGAGATTCCTGTGAAACTAATGAGGAGAAAAGAGAAAATTATTCCACAGGGAAAATTTTTAATCTGCTGCAGATATAGGGGGTTCAAAGATAGCTATGTCTAGAACATATAATGAGGGAAAATTAGTTTCATGCCTATCACCATTTATAATGAAAACATGTAGCTGGAAAACAATGCACAAATTTCAAGTTTACTTTCACTGTCACTGTAAGGAGCAGAAAGCACCACTGTAACAGCAGTGTTCTGTATTTGTTTCAATTGCCTACAACATAATGCAAAAGGAAAGAGAATAAAAGAATTTTCTCTGTTCCTGAGATCCTGATCTTTTGTATTGTCTATTATTGCTCTTCAGTAATGCTTTTATCAGATGTCACTTTGTTTTAGTCAATTTCCCCACTTTTTTCTTCAGCCAATGTACTAGCAGGTAGACAGCTAATATATTGTATAAGTTTTTGTAACAATTGTTTTTGCTTAAGAAAATGGCAGAAGTATGATTCATTCTGTGTCCTGAGTTTTCAAATGCTTCTTTCCAAACATTAAGTGCTACCTTTAAGATGTCTTACAATTTTCTTAGTGCTATCCAAACTTTCCTGGTTTAGTTTTCAACATTTAATCAAACTGAATTTATATAATTTAAGCAAAACAATTTTCCCACAAGGAAAATTTGCTATCTAAAGAATGCGAATGCCAATTATCTAAAATCTGCTCCTGTATTTTAATTGTAATGGACTGTTAAAAATAATAGGTGTTAATTTGCACATGGATAACTTACTTGCTTTGTGTCAGATCAACTACAATGAGATCTTTCTCCAGAAGTACTGCAACAGCATAGGGTTCTTGAAATTCTACAAGTAAAAATAAAAAAATTGAAAAGTTTTCATAATGCATATTTTATAATAATCACCAATACTGCGTTTCCTTTTTCTTCTATATTAATTAAACAACTTGAGAAATTCAAAACATGAATTAAAAAAAAACAGTATTTTAATAAAATATATGCTGTATTTCTCAAATTTAATGTTAGGAACACTTAAAAGAAAACAAGGAAAAATGAAAAGTTGCACAGTATAGACTTAAATGTATCTCAATAGTCATAGGGGGTGATACTAGTACATTCTATGAAGAGAGTGAGACATCACTTCCATCTTACAAGTCTTTATCTTACTGATCCATAACCTTGTATTTAGGTCTGATTTCATGCCTACAAAGGGGGGGGAAGTAATAACTCTGTTTCTCTGGAATATGATACATATTTACCTCCTTATGAAAGCACTACCACTTATACTAAAAAGTTTACTTCCAATGCAATGTGATTAAACATGCACCTACAGATTGCCTACTATGTGACTAAGAGTACATGCCTAGAAAAAGCAGTTAGGCTGAAGATAGTCTAAGATCTTCAAGTTTATAAAATCAGGGCTGCTCTACCATACTTCTTCCCTCCCTCCTATTCTTTCTTCATTGACTTCCAGAAACTGTTTTAAAATCAAGGATTAAATGAATGTGAATAAATGAATAATTTTTTAAAATTTTAAAAAGGATTAGATGAAAAATAAGACTAACATGGTACATTTTCTCACAGAATTTACTTTCTAGGGATATTTACAAATCATGAAAAAGTAAAGAAATAAGAATTCAGGAAATAATGTAAGCTATGAAAAAAATTAAAAAGGTTATGGCATAAAATATGATTTGTGTTTGGAAGAGGAGTGTTAATTTGAGTCCTGAAAACACTGCTTTACAGTTATAATGAAAGACTAATATGGGAAGGCTAGAGTTTGAAGAACGGTAGGGTTTTATGACTAGTTATTTTCTCTTTGGCATCTTTCCTAAGAACATCATTGGTAAGGAAGCAAGTGCTACAAAATGAAATAATGAGACATTGGAACGTATCAACTAAAGATAAATGATAATTTTAGGTAGTTACATGTTTTAAACTATTGTTGTTTCTCCACAAATAACAAAAATTGGCAGAAGTTTCACCTTTATAGAAGTACCTGTGTACTGTGATGTCCAGTGAACAAAAGATTTCCTTAACAGTCAAATTTGGTTTCAATTCCATGACGACCATTTACTAAAAGTTTGATCTTGACCAAATAAATTAACTTCTTTGACCTTCAATTCCTTTACCCATTGAAATGATACAATAATAACTGTCAGGCTAATATGAAGATTAAATGAAACAATGTATGTGAAGATGTTTACACTCAATAGATGACAACTATATTACTTCCTTTATTAGGTTGGTTAATTTCAGTGTTTTAACCTTAGCCCCCCCCCTCCAAATGATGAATGCTCTATCATAATTACTACTTCTCTGAAGAGAAATGAATCATTTGGGGGCTTGGAGAGGCCTAGATACAGCTAAATCTAGACATGAAACTGACAAATTTGAATTATAGTTGACCAGTTACTCTGGGCAATACCTCCACTGAGATAAGAAAGAACATTAAAGAATTTGTGAGAATGAGCTGAATTGTCAGATGTCATAAATGATTCAACAATATTATTAATAACTTTGTTCAACCTATGCATATTTATCACACCATATAGCTATAAAGTTAATGTGAAATAATTAAAATAGATTGTGAAAAAGTATGATAAAACACAGTACACAGAGCATGCTGCTATTTGTACAAAAAAGATATAATGTTACTCAAGTAATGACTATATAGATACATGCATATGTATAGGTTATTTTAAGGAGAATAGTAAGAAACTAGACAACACTGATTGTCTCTGGAAGGGCAGTGAGGAATTTGTCATTACGTACTACTGTATATTGTAGACTTTCTTTTCTCATGTATTGATATGTTAAATGGTTTAACAGTTAAGACACACTTAAATAGTAAACAAGACTCATTTATATTTGAGCAAAGTTAAGCTACTTCTCCTAGCCTGTCAAATGAAATTTTCAATCCTTCTCACCAATTTTCAGAAAAACAAAGGCACATACAATTCACTAACAGAAATGAATATGCATGATGACAGTGTATTTATTCTATATTAAACACTAATATAAATTTTTCTAGTATCTCTACTGCTGCTCAGAAACTTATATACACATCTAGTGACTGATCTTTGCAACTACTTACTCTCAGTTTCTATTGCTGGCATATTTTCTTCTTCAAGGATCTTAATAGGAAGGATTTTCCTAACTTCAGCTTTTAGTTCTTTCTGTTATTTCTTTCCTTTTTCCCCCCTTCACACTCTGTCCAGCCAGCCCTATTCTTTCATCATTCATTCTTATAAGTCCAAAGAATATTTATATTCTGAAATTCATGAATAAATATTGTAATATCTTTTCTCTCTCCTTTCTGTTCCCTTCACAGTTATACTCAGTCTTACCTTTCTCCCTTTTCAAAAACTATTAGTATACACGAAATCACTATTCTTAAATCATGGAGTTGTCTCTGACTTTTCTACCATGCCACTTCCTAATCTAGTTGCACACATCATTCAGAGGTTTTCCTCATTCCATTTCTTCAGGCAATATCCTGTTTCAGGCTTTGATTATTTTAAATAAACATTTTTATAAACATTCTCAGCTTAAATCTGGAATTTCAGGGTCTCTCTTCAAAATTACATGTCTCTCTTTGGGTAAATCTTACTAAAATTAATCCTTTCTTTCACCTTAGTATTTCTGCAAAACTTCTCTGTAGCTCCCTATTTCCCAATGTCACCAAAGGCTTTTAAGTTTTTCTAAATTGATCTCAACCTAGCAAAACTCCCAATTCTCAACCCCTTACTCAATATCCCTTTAAATATCTGCATAAATCCTATTTCTCTGTGAAGTTTTGCATGAATATTTCATTCATCAACTATTTAACTAGCCTATAAAATGCTATATGACTCTGAACCATGTAACTCAGCATTTAAGGTCTTAACATTGCTTCAACTCAACAAGTCAATTATCTCATTGATCTTATCAGATTTTATGCAGTTTGATATTAGAGATCAGTTTCATAATTCATCTGTATATGCAATAAGTCCTTGTAGTACTGAGATCATAAAAGCATTCCATAAGTATTTGTTTATTAATTAAGAAAACAGGTAATCTGTCTCTAGTAACTCTGGAAATAAAGTATTGCATTGGTTATCAATCACATCTTTGAAATATGGAACTAAACTTTTAAAGAGAAATTAATGCTCTTAGTAATAAAATTTATAACATAATTTACAAAGTATATTCATCTGACCTTACAATAATCATATGGGGACAATGTTATTATTCTTCTCCTATGAATGATAAATAAAACTCAAAAAGTATTTTGCTGAATATCGCATAGCTATAATTGGCAGAACTAAATCATAAACCCAAAGATTCTGTCCCCAGGTCCAGTGCTCTTTTTCCTATATCCACACATTCCCTTTTGAAAATATAATAATGTATACATATAGTATGTTGCCTTAATCATAAGTTCATATTTCCCTTTTATGTTTTTACCCTTCTCATTTTTTATACTTCATTAAAATGTTTTATCAGCATAAGATTTTACTATACAGCTTCTATGAGTTTAGACTAGTTTTTGTTTATAAAAGGTCTTTACTTATATTCAGAGTGATAAAAATATACATGTATCTCTCCTCCAAAGATCCTCTGACTGATTATTTTCAAAAATGAAATAAATCACTAACCACACATCAGCAATCCTAGAGTAATCAGAGGTGCTGCAGTTGCATTTGAAGCAAAGGCAGATGTGAAACATATGCAGCACCACCAGAGTTACAGATCACTGATATCAGGTAAGTGCTTTAACTTTGATTGGCATTGGGATGGGATGGGTGGAGCTGGTCTAGGAGAGACTATTAGGAGACCTCAGTTTCCCCAAGTGATTTCACCCCGGACCCCTATCGGACCCTCCCAGCTCAGCTTCCACCATCCTCATCAAAGTTTAAAGCACTTACCTGATAATAGAACCTGAAACGCCAGCACTGCTGCACTACATCTGTCTTACTTCCAGTTTGTCAAGTAGGTACAATTGCAGAACCTGCTCCAGCACCTGTAGCTCAGTGTTGTATGTACCACAGTGGATGTCTGCTGCCAAAACTGAAAATATTTAACCTTAATTTTATCAGGAATTTGTCATTTTTAAAATGATTTTTCAATGTTAACAGTTTAGTTTTAGTTACTTACCATTTGGATATGGTGTTTCACATAAAGTAAGAAATTCAACAATAGGATGATCCATTTCAAGTACTGTAATTGCTTTTCCATGCATGATAGTTAAACTTGGTCTTCTGCATGCTTTGTCATAGGACAGCCCACCAGAGAATATTATGAATGGTTCACTACATAGGAAAAAAAGTTAATGAGACTGAGGAGTCCTATAAGATGACACAAAGTCAAGGACTAAGCCTTTAAAGAATAAGTTCAGTGGAGATAATATACAATGCAATTTGACAGCAAAATTTATCACCCAACAACCATCTTACCATTTCCCTTTTTCTGGATATACATTCTAACTATTAGACTAAACAATGGATAACTCTAGAGGTATTAGGGTAGGGTTGGGGAAAGGCAATGGTGTTGGAGGGAGGGAAGTGGAAGTGTTCCCTGGCTCTCAGGAATCAATTAGTTGATTCCCAAACTCTGTATCACTACTACTGGAATATTACTTTATGTTAGAATATCCAATGAATTATTTGGCATGAGAGGCTCCAAATCCTTAAGAAAGAAAAAAAAGGCAAATTGTAATATGAAATGAAATGTGATAATGGAAAGCTCAGATTCAGGTAAAAATATGAAAATTCTAGATAATGGAGTTTCTGTGGAAAAGTTTTAACAAGATAGGCAAAGGTAATATAGAAGGAAAAAATAGCTCATCAAATCAAAGATAAATGTGATCTCCTTAATTTTACATATAGCCAGCCAACAATATCTTGCTCAAGTAACTTCATACAATTTTTTAGTCCTTTAGTTTGCAAGATATAATTAGATAGTAAAGTAGATGTCTATCACAACTTGTCAACTTGTTTGTACTGAGATTGCTTGATTGGATTGAGAGATGAACACTTCTGGGTGTACTGTGGGGGTGTTCCCAGAGACAACTGGCACATGGGACAGCAATAATGGGGTAGAAAACTGTCCTGAATGTGGGAGGAGCTATCCAATAGGGTGGGTGCCCTGAAGGAATAAAAGTGGAAGAAGGATTAAGATTCTGCCTTGCCACTGGCCTAAAAGCAATGGAGCCAGTTGATAACAGACTGCAACCTCTGCAACCATGAGCCAAAATAAATATTCCTCTTTTAAGCTGTCTCTTCAGATATTGTTATGATGGTAGAAAAAGACTAACACAGTGGAGGTTTGACGATTATAAAACTATGAAATAGTTTCACAAATATGTAGGTATAAAATAAACACCTACATATCTCTAGCATATTATGCAGAAGAAAAATAAGTTGACACCAAGTATTATCAAAAAGCAAATTGAAAATATTTTTTCTAAATAAAAATTTAAAAATAACTGGAGACTTACTGTATCAAATTCTTTGAAAATACACTGCCTTAAAAATTCACATCCACTCTATCTGCTATATTAAAATAATTAACATGTCTCTGGAAATCATTCTATAAGATTTTCTTCTCTTTCTGTTTTTCACTGTGCATAGTACCAAACATTTGCTATTCTTATGCCAGCTGTATATTAATAATTTACTTTTTTTAAAGTTTCTATCAAAACTTACACTTAAAATGGCACACTAACTTTTCTTTAGGATTCTATCTTAATATTTTGACCTAAGTATTTGAATTATAAGGAAAATAATTTTTAAAAAGCTCTTATGGTACCTGAGTTCTGCATTGGTTGGTTTCAATGATATCCTTGCACCAGTGATTTGAAATAATAAATGACCAACCTACAAATGGTGGAATTGAGAAGCTTAATTTTAACAGCATAGAAAAAAATCTAAAATACTTGGGTTTGGGTTAAAAGAAATAAGCCAGACTCAGAAAGGCAATTATGACAAATTTTCTTTTATATGCAGAATCTAGATTTTTTTTTTAAAAGGACATGAATGAAAATAACAAGGGGAACTATCTGGGAAGAAGAAGGGGACCAGTGTAAAGTGGGAGGGGAGACAAGTGGAAAAGGGAGGTTGAATATGTTCAAAGTACATTATACTTGTGTATGAAAAAAAATAATGTTTGTCATCCTGTCAACTACAGTTCCTTATATCCCACTGAACCTGAATATATATATAACAAAATTTATTTTTTAGATTAGTCTATGTAGGCATACAATGTGTCTTTTCCAGACTCTGCCATTAAAGAAAGAGAAAGAAGAATCATTCCAATAGTCTATACATAGTTTTCATATCTATCTCCTAGTTGTCAATGAATCTACAATCAAATTTATTTGACTAAGACTCATTATGATTTTTTAGATTCAAGATATTAGTACCATCTTTATTATTTATTAACTGAATTAATACATAGTCTAACATTTGTAAAGCCTTGAGTAATCTAGAGAGATTTTAGATTGTTTCTATGTTGTTGAAATTAAAATGAATCACATATAACAATATAGTCAAATATGACTTGTGCTTTATGTTCACATGATTGTGGCCTATTTTGCCGGCAAAATACTCTTAATCTCAGTGCTTCTCTGATTTTTAGCTTCTATATGCTTCAAGTGCATAATAAATAAGCTTATAATAATCACAAAAATATATACATTAATGTATACAGTGAAATGATAGTTATGATAATTAGTATGATAATTTTACATTTACAAATCTGAAGAATCCATATAGTTAGATTACCAATTACTAAAACAAATATTTAATAGTGCAAAAATTTTAACAGAGTAGAATGCCATGGCTTTAATGATGACAATAGTAAGAGTAATTTCTATTTATTAATAAAAATACGATGTACCCTCATCAAGGTTAGGATGTTATTATATGCCTTTCATATTATTTCATGTAATCCTCATGCTCATCGTAAAAATATAGATATTGCTGGTAAGAAAACTCAAATTTAGGCATTAATTAAAATTTTAAAGGTCACATAGCTATCTTACTCCAAAGCTACTTATCTTGATCATTATTTTCCACTGCTTTGTTTTGAGGCCCTGATTGCTAAAGTATATTGTCTTCATTGGGATTCCTTCCTTCCTTTGTCTGGTACCATCCTGTCATCCTTTAAATCAAGTCTCAGACACCTTCTCCAATAATTTCCCTGGTCTCTCTCTTTTGGTTATCTTTCTCATTTCCCTCAAGAACGAATTAGATGTCCCTCTTACATGCTCCCATAACATATCCATATAAAACTGCTACATCTGTTGTATATAAACCCTGACTTAAAGCCTTGCCTTTACTACTAGAACATACAAATTCAAAAACAGGCAGCAATTTCATTTCAGTACACCTATCAAATTGCAGAGTATATGGTATACAGTAAAAATTTAATAAAATGTTGTTTAACTGAAATAAACTGAATATTGTTGAGCACTCCATAGAAATATATTTATTTGGTCAGGCACCGTGGCTTAAGCATGTGATCCTAGCTACTCAGAAGGAATGCAGTCCAAGAAGAACCTAGGCAAAAAGTTCAAGAGACCCCATCTCAATCAATGGCTGGGTACTGTGGCAAATGCTTGTCTTCCCTAGCTACACAGGGATGACTAGGATGACTAGTAGGATCATGGTTTAGACCTGTCCAGACATGAAATGAGACCCTTTCAAAAATAACTAACACAAAAAAAGCTGGAGGCATGGCTTAAGTGGTAATGTGCTTTCTTAGCATGTATGAGGACCTAAGTTCAACCTCCTGTACTGGAAAAAAATATTAATTAATTTATTTAATGATACTTGGGAATGAACACAGGACCTTGCCCTTATGAGTCGAACTCTTTATCACTTAAGTCATATCCTCAGTCCAGAAATGTTTTAAAGGCCTGTCAGTAACAAAATGGAGTACATCAACCATATGCTTTATCATTGGAAATCTCTCAGGCCTCCACACAAACCTATATACTCTCATTTTTACAAGTTTGGCTTGGGGGTGAATTCAACAAAACTACAGCTGCCAGGAATAGTTAATATAGTCTCCTGCACCTCAATGGTCTTTGAAGTATAATACTGTCTAACAGTGATATAAATAATATTGATCCTGAAGATTTAAGCAAAGTGTAAATTACAAATGTTGTTTTAATAAAAGAAGAAAATATGTACCTTTTTATCCACAATTAAGAAATTTGAAATATTTTAATACTTTAGTTATACTGTATAAAACTTTGGGCATTTTAACCAGCTAATGCATAGTAATGTTAGGTTACACAAGAGATATTGACAGAAATTAGGGAAGGGAGTATGAAAGAGAGCAGTGGAGGGGATGAATTTAAGTCTACTATATTTGAAACATAGAAAAATCATTAGCATTTCTATACACTAACAATGAGCAAACGGAAAAAGAATGTATGAAAACAATTCCATTTACAATAGCCTCAAAAAAAAATCAAATACCTAGGTGTAAACCTAACAAAAGATGTGAAAGACCTCTACAAGGAAAACTATACACTTCTGAAGAAAGAGACTGAGGAAGACTATAGAAAGTGGAGAGATCTCCCATGCTCATGGATTGGTAGAATCAACATAGTAAAAATGTCGATACTCCCAAAAGTAATCTACATGTTTAATGCAATTCCCAAAAAAATTCCAATGACATTCATTAAAGAGATTGAAAAATCTACTGTTAAATTTATATGGAAACACAAGAGGCCACGAATAGCCAAGGCAATACTCAGTCAAAAGAACAATGCAGGAGGTATCACAATACCTGACTTCAAACTATATTACAAAGCAATAACAATAAAAACAGCATGGTACTGGCACAAAAACAGACATGAAGACCAGTGGAACAGAATAGAGGATCCAGATATGAAGCCACACAACTATAAGCAACTTATCTTTGACAAAGGAGCTAAAAATATACGATGGAGAAATAGCAGCCTCTTCAACAAAAACTGCTGGGAAAACTGGTTAGCAGTCTGCAAAAAACTGAAACTAGATCCATGTATATCACCCTATACCAAGATTAACTCAAAATGGATCAAGGATCTTAATATCAGACCCCAAACTCTAAAGTTGATACAGGAAAGAGTAGGAAATACTCTGGAGTTAGTAGGTATAGGTAAGAACTTTCTCAATGAAACCCCAGCAGCACAGCAACTAAGAGATAGCATAGATAAATGGGACCTCATAAAACTAAAAAGCTTCTGTTCATCAAAAGAAATGGTCTCTAAACTGAAGAGAACACCCACAGAGTGGGAGAAAATATTTGCCAACTATACATCAGACAAAGGACTGATAACCAGAATATATAGGGAACTTAAAAAACTAAATTCTCCCAAAACTAATGAACCAATAAAGAAATGGGCAAGTGAACTAAACAGAACTTTCTCAAAAGAAGAAATTCAAATGGCCAGAAAACACATGAAAAAATGCTCACCATCTCTAGCAATAAAGGAAATGCAAATTAAAACCACTAAGATTCCACCTCACCCCTGTTAGAATAGCCATCATCAGCAACACCACCAACAACAGGTGTTGGCGAGGATGCGGGAAAAAGGAACCCTCTTACACTGTTGGTGGGAATGTAGACTAGTACAACCACTCTGGAAAAAAATTTGGAGGCTACTTAAAAAGCTGGACATCGATCTACCATTTGATCCAGCAATACCACTCTTGGGGATATACCCAAAAGACTGTTACTCCAGAGGCACCTGCACATCCATGTTTATTGCGGCACTATTCACAATAGCCAAGTTATGGAAACAGCCAAGATGCCCCCACTGACGAATGGATTAAGAAAATGTGGTATCTATACACAATGGAATTTTATGCAGCCATGAAGAAGAACGAAATGTTATCATTCGCTGGTAAATGGATGGAATTGGAGAACATCATTCTGAGTGAGGTTAGCCTGGCCAAAAACCAAAAATCGTATGTTCTCCCTCATATGTGGACATTAGATCAAGGGCAAACACAACAAGGGGATTGGACTATGAGCACATGATAAAAGCGAGAGCACACAAGGGAGGGGTGAGGATAGGTAAGACACCTAAAAAACTAGCTAGCATTTGTTGCCCTTAACGCAGAGAAACTAAAGCAGATACCTTAAAGCAACTGAGGCCAATAGGAAAAGGGGACAGGAACTAGAGAAAAGGTTAGATCAAAAAGAATTAACCTAGAAGGTAACACCCACGCACAGGAAATCAATGTGAGTCAATGCCCTGTATAGCTATCCTTATCTCAACCAGCAAAAACCCTTGTTCCTTCCTATTATTGCTTATACTCTCTCTACAACAAAATTAGAAATAAGGGCAAAATAGTTTCTGCTGGGTATTGGGGGGGGGAGAGGGAGGGGGGGAGTGGGTGGTAAGGGAGGGGTGGGGGCAGGGGGAGAAATGAACCAAGCCTTGTATGCACATATGAATAATAAAAGAAAAATGAAAAAAGAAAAAAAAAAGTCTACTATATTTGATACATTGTAAGAACCTTCATGTACCCATCCAGCACAATAAAAAAAATAAAAACAAACGAAAAGAGATAATGACATATAATTAAAGTAAGTGCTTAAAAACTACCATGATTTTATAGTATAAACACTTTAGAAGAGTAGGTGTAAATGAACATCAAACATATATATGATACCAAGAAAATCTTCTTATGTGAGCATATGACTAATATAAATTAGGACTATCTGATTTAAAATTAAAACAATATTCATGCAAGGTTTATTACGGTAATCCTGGATGAAAGAAGTACCACTAATAATAATTGAAAGTAGAAGAAATATTGCAGCAGTGTAAGATATGGTAGCTATAATACAAGATAAAATTCTCTTATTATAGTTTTCATCTTTTGCATCTTAGAATTTAGTACTTTTTCATTATGTCAATATGTATACCTTTATCTTTCTAACTAAATGTATTATTTTCAATTTCACAATGTAAGACCCTAAAGTACAGAGATCTATTTATGTACTTAATTCTTTCATAAGCAATATCAAAAAGTGCATAGCTTCTGCTTAATAAATATTGCCACTTTTTATGCGTGGCCAAATAGTTCTCAATTGGCTTTTGTTTGTTTACTTGTTTTTTTGTGTGGTTTGGTATTGGGGTTTGAACTTGGTATTGTGTTTGTGATAGCATATTACCACTTTAGCCACACACTCCACTCCTTTTTGGCTTTAGTAATTTTTCAGAGAAAGTCTGGTGGTTTTGCCTGGTGGCCTCAATCTGCAATTCTCCCTTTCTCCACCTTCCAAGTAGCAGAGATTACAGGCATGGGTCACCATGTTCAACCTCAATTGTTAAAATTAGCTTATGTGCTACTAATATAAATACTCATAAGATTTTAAAAATAACTAATACTTATTATTTGTAATATTCTTAATAATGATCATCATAGATATGCCTGCTAAACAAAAAATAAGTTATTATTAATGTATACTATTGAACCAGTTAATATATTTACAATTACATATAACTTTAAGCACTATATTAATATTAAAGGTTATCCTGCCTTTCTTGTCTCTGTATCTTACATATATTCCCATACTCCCCAAAGTAAAAATGCATACCTATTCCTGCAGGTCTTATACTCTACTTTAAGAATTGGTTTACAAGATTCAGATTTTCTTCCTTCCCTTTGACTTTTTCCTAAAGAAAGGAAAAGATTTTATTAAGTGTGTTTTAATTTGTACTCAGTCATAAAAACTTAAAAATTTACACTAAAGGAATATAAAAAGGAGGAATAAAAATTTAACTCTATGTTTGTCACAATAGAGTAAACAAGTCTACATATCCTAAGGGTTTATTGAACATGTAAGACATTTTTAGAGTTATAACAATTAACTGCTATATAAGCAACGAAGTTATTAAAAAAAATTATCCAGCCTTTACTGCTTTACATTCTGCAAATAAAAATTTAGTTTCTTATAAACTTTGTAAAATTACTTATATTTGAAAGTAAAATAAACAGGTTTGGAATTGAAGACACAAACATACATACCTGTATGCATTATACAATATATTACTATGAAAATGTGTACTAGGCTTAATATTTTATCTATTATAGAAACATGCTCTTTTTATATTGCAGAAAGATTTGCGATGCACAGTATATGATGGTTCTTCATTTCAATCAAATTCATCTAAAGGAAAGGCTATTAAACAATAAAGTAATTCATGATTAAAAAATAATTTTAATGATACATTCTATTCGCATCAATCAAATGCCATAGTTTCTTACAAAGAGAATGATTATGCTGTTCAGACTTTGTATGGATCAAAAGAGGACATGAAAAGAAAGCTACTCCTGTTTATAACATCCTTATCTTTAAAGTTATGCTTTTATTTTAACTCTGTATCTCATTTTGATAAAACAGACATGTTTTTCATATGTTGTTTCCTTTTATTTTTAGTAAGTGCACTTAATTATCCTTGTATTGCTACTATTTATAGATATACATACCTGTTAAAGAGATGTTTACATGCATATATATTTAAAATTTCACAATAGTTACAGAATAACACAATCAAATCAAAACAGGATGTCAAAGTAGTTTTCTTCAACTTGTTTAAAAGGGAGGGAATCAATAACAACAAACTACTATCTACCCCATGGCATATTTTCTGAAATTTCCTTCTTTTCTTTTACCATCTGTCAATTAAAAAATCAAGTAATATATAAAGTTGGTCATAATCACACTGTAAAAAAAAGATAAGTATATGTACCACACATCTGATAGAATTGCAGATATTATATGTAGATTATGCCATCTAACAAAGAGACAGCTTTTCCTCAGGGACTCACTCCGAACTGTAACCTTAAAATTAAGGCTGAAGGTTGGTAGTTTTGATAATGAAGTAGGAACAGAAGAAATGAAAGAAGTGACACACCCAGAAGATAGACCCATTCTCCTTAATTTAGGTGGTTTTTTCCATCTACTTCTCTAAATTACCAAGCAATTAATTGAACAAAATACTTTATATACATACATACATATATGGAACCAAATACTATTTTTAATAATACATATCATTGTCATAAACTAATTTCAGTAGAAAAGAATAATTGCATAGTTATTGATTAATGTTCTGAATCAACTTCAAGCTCCAATAATTTACTTTTGGGTGAGGGTTTCCTGCTTTGATTATATCCATTACCTGACAATAATTAAAACATCTTTATGTCATACTGTGTAAAAAAACATTATCAATTCCATTTGTTGCTATTCCTTATGTTCAGTGGTACTATATTAAGTGATAGGGTATAAAGAAATAAACTCCAAGATGCTTAGAATCTACTAGATTAAGCATAAAAACACTAGTGTAAGGGAATAGAAAAAGTAATGCTTAAGTACAAAACAGTCATTCAGAGACCACAACTACAACTTATTTTCTATACAAAAAATAGAGTGCTTTCAATTTTGGGAATGATATGTTTAAAGTAATGCTACAGAACATTAATAATGGCTTTATTTAACAGAGCAAGAGTACAAAAGAGATTGATGCTGGCAATATAAGAAGGAAATTATTATAAGAAGACAGGAAAAAGAATAGAGTGAAGGAAAATGAACAAAATTTCAAAGAAATGTGAAATATCATTAATCATATCACCATATATAAGAAGATGAGAAAAGAAATGAGCAAAAAACTAACTGAAAACATTTTTGACAAAAAATACTATTTATATATTTAAGAAGCTCAATGATCTCCATGTTGGATAAAAGCAAGGAAATCTACCCCTAAGCACATCCCAGTAAAAATGCTGGTATCCAAAATAGAAAATCATGAAAGCAGCAAGAAAAAAAATGACTCATTGTATACAAAGGAAACTCAGTAAGATTAACAGTTAACTTTGAGAAACAATAGAGACCAAAAGGCAATAGAATAACATTTTGAAAGTACTGGAAGGAAAAACAAGAAATTGATGTTGAGCAAAATTATTCAATAATGAGGTCAAACAAAGTCTGGTGGAGTGGCTCAAGTGGCAGAGTGCCTGCTTATAGCAAGCATGAGGCCCTGAGTTCAAGACCCAAACTGGAAAAAAAAAAAGAAGGCAAAAAAAGTATTTCCAGATAAACAAGAACTAAGAGAATGTACTCCAAACAGGACAATCTTGCCAAATGTGCTAAAGTAAGCTCTCCAGGCTGAAAGAAAATCATCACAGGTGGTGATTAGAATTCATAAAAAGCAGAGTACAGAATATTGACAAATTTTTTTTCCTTGGGAGTTATAATTTCACCCAAGTTCTCAACTCCATTAGCTGAACTGTAAAAAATATGCTCTTAAGTTTGTTTATTTTTTGAAGCTACTGGCATTTGAAGTCAGAGACTTGGGTTTGGGCTTGAGCTTGGGCTTGCTAGGACTCTTAAGACATACCCTACCCACCCAAGCTCTTTTTGCCTTTTGTAGTTTACTTTTCAAATAAGGTCTTGAGTTTTTGCCTGGGCTGGCTTGGGGTGGTGATCCTCCTACCTCCACCTCCCAGAAATAGGTAGGATTACAGGCAAGCACTCTGATGTCCAGCTGCTTTAGAGATTTTTAATTCCTCAATTTCAAGGGGTGATTTGTCCCATATAATTTATTTTATATTTTCTTTCTTCTCTACTGATTAAGTTACCTAAAGATAATGTCTCCTTTGTTTTATTATTTCAACTTACTTTCTTTTATTATTTCAGCCTACTTTCTTTATTGGTTCATTGATTTTTGGGGATTTAGTTTTTTGAACTCCCTGTATATTCTGGTTATCAGTCCTTTGTCTGATGTATAGCTAGCAAGATTTTCTCCCATTCTGTGGGTAGCCTCTTTAATTTAGAGACCATTTCTTTTGTTGTGCAGAAGCTATTTAATTTCTTGTAGTCTCATTTGTCCACCCTTTCTCTTAATTGTTGGGCCACTTGAGTTCTACTGAGGAAGTCCTTACCTGTACCTGTGGCTTCCAGAGTATTCCTTGCTCTTTCCTGTACTAACTTCAGGTCTGATATTAAGGTCCTTCATCCACTTTCAGTTGATACTAGTGCAGGGTGACAGGCATGGATCTAGTTTCAGGTTTCTGCAGGCAGGTAACCACTTTTCCCAGCAACATCTGTTGAAGAGGCTGTCTTTTCTCCATCATATGTTTTTGGCGCCTTTGTCAAAAATAAGGTGGGCAAAGCCATGTGGATTCATATCCGGGTCCTCTATTCTGTTCCACTGGTTTTCATATCTGTTTTTGTGCCAGTACCACACTGTTTTTATTGCTATGGATCTGTAATATAATTTGAAGTCAGGTATTGTGATACCTCCAGCATTGCTCTTTTTACTGAGTATTGCCTTGGCTATTTGTGGTCTTTTGTGTTTCCAAATGAATTTTAGGGTAGATTTTTCGATCTCTGTGATGAATGTCATTGGGATTTTGATGGGAATTGCACTGAACATATAGATTGCTTTTGGTAGTATAGCCATTTTACTATGTTGAGCTTATTAATCCATGAGCACAGGTGATCTTTCCACCTTCTGTAGTCTTCCTCATTCTCTTTCTTCAGAGGTTTGTAGTTCTCCTTGAAGAGGTCATTCACATCCTTTGTTAAGTTTACTCCTAGGTATTTGACTTTTTTTTAGGCTATTGTAAATGGAATTGTTTTCCTATATTTTTTCTCAATTTGTTGATTGTTGGTGTACAGAAAAGCTAATGATTTTTGTAAGTTGATTTTGTATCCTGCCACATTGCTGAAGCTGTTTATGGTGTGTAATAGTTTTAGGGTAGAGTTTTTTGGGTCTTTGATGTATAGTATCATGTTGTCTGCAAATAGGGACACTGACAGTTTCTTCACCTATTTGTGTTCCTTTTATTTCTTCTTCTTGCCTTATTGTTCTGGCTAGGAATTCCAGGGCTATGTTGAATAGGAGTGGGGAGAGTAGACACCCTTGTCTCATTCCTAATTTCAAGGGAAATGGTTTCAGTTTTTCTCTACTAAGTATGATGTTGGCTATAGGTTTGTCATATACAGCCTTTATAATGTACATTCCTTCTATTCCTAGTTTTCTTAGAGCTTTTATCATGAAGTGGTATTAAATCTTATCAAAAGCTTTTTCTGCATCTGTTGAGATGATCAAGTGGTTTTTGTCTTTCCTTCTGTTAATGTGCTGTATTACATTTATAGATTTGCGTATGTTAAACCACTCCTACATCCCTGGGATAAAGCCAACTTGGTCATGGTGAATGATCTTTCTGATATGTTTCTGGATTCAGTTTGCCGTTATTTTATTGAGGATTTTTACATCAATGCATTAAGGAGATTGGCCTATAGTTCTCCTTTTTGGATGTGTCTTTGTCTGGTTTTGGGATGAGTGTAATACTGGCTTCATAGAATGAATTAAGCAGTATTCCTTCCCTTTTTTATTTCATAGAAAAGTTTAAGGAGAGTTGGTATTAATTCTTCTTTAAAGGTCTGATAATATTCAGCAGAGAAAACATGGAATTACATTGAAATGGTAAACATTACATGTGTATTTCACCATAATTGAAAAAGCAGCCAGGCCTAGTTGCTCATACCTATAATCCCAGAAGTTGATAGGCAGAAGCAGGAGGATCAGGAATTTGAGGCCAGCTGGGCTACATAATGAGACACTGTCTCAAGAACACAAAACAAAAACCAATAAAACAAAAAACCCAACAACTACATTTCCTTTTAAGTCTGCCATTGCTAATAAACTCAGCTTCAAAGTCTATCTTTTCAGAATAGAATATTTTGATTTGTAGTAAAATAATTAAATGTGTCTACATAAAGTTTTCTATTTTAGGAGACACAGTGGCTAAGGAAGAGGGGGCAACAAAATATGAAGTATATACAACATAATTGCCACAATATACAAATTATGTCTAAGGCATAATCAAAACTATTAATGTGTGAAGAAGCAGAAAAATTCAAGTTATTCTTGTGAACAGAGGTCAACTTCAAAGTAAAACACATGTTGGTATTAACAGAGAAAGGTTTAAAGTAGCTATTATAACTAAATTAAATGCTTAAAGAAAAGTAAAATGCTCCAAATGAATGAAACAAAGGAAATAACAGAGAAATAGAAAATACAAAAAAGTATCAAAAAAGAAAAATTAGGCAAAAATTTAAAACTATCTTATAGGGCTCATAGAAGAATGAAGAGGAAAAGAATAGTTAAATTGATGATGGATCAGTGGGAATCATTGAATCTGAAATTCAGAAAATAGATTGACAAAACAAACAAATAAGTAAAGGAAAGTTCAGATGTATGTGTCATAACACCAAAAATACTAACAAGTGACTCAGATCCCAGAGGGGGAATGAGACACAAAAACATATTTGAAGATAAATGGCTGAAAAGTCCCCAATTTCTATACTTTCCAATCTTGTGGAAGATATAAATTTATAGATTTGAGAAGCCTGGTAGAACCCTTATCAGAACAAAAGAAACCAGACTAGGCATAACATTTACATTGCAGAAAAAAATATATAAAAATTTGTTTGAAAACAAATGAAGAAAAAAATTTCTACAGAGGAAGCAAAGTTCACACCACTAAAAAGTCTTCATTCAGAATACATGGAACCTTGAGAAAGGTGGAAACATTGATAAAGCATTTGCCAAATTAAAAATACATGCATGCACACACACGTGCACATACACTGTCAGTTCAGAAATTTAAATCTAGCAAAAGAAGCCTTCAAGAATGAAGGGATGGCTGGATGTGGTGGCTTGAGCCTGTAATGTTAGTTAATTGGAAGGCAGAGATCAGAAGGATTACAGTTCAAGGTCAGCCTGGGCAAATGTTGAAGAGACACCATGTCAAGCAATGGCTAGGTGCTGTCACTTGCACCTGCTATCCTACTATTCAGGGAAGGAGAAGTAGAAATGCTGTTTGAACCAGTCCAGGCGTAAAGTGCAACCCTATCTCAAAATAATCAAAGCAGTATGTATGTATGGAATTACCACAATGAAATACCCTTGTATTACTAATGCATGCTAATTCAAAAATAAAATACAATTTAAAAAATAACCAAAACAAAAATGGCTGGCAGCATAGTTCAATTGGTTGGGTACCTGCTTAGCAAGCCCCAAGGCTCTGAGTTCAACCTCTAGTACCTCAAAAAAAAAATAAAAAAATTTAAAAATACAAGATAGTTTCAGATTAAGGAAGCTAAGTGAATTCATTTCTAGCAGATCTACATGAAATGCTAAATAATTTTCAGGAACAAATAAAAATGATAATGAAAATACAAACAACTTTTCCTCTATAAAAATATATGTGACTATTTAAAAGCAAATATTATAACAATATATTTGGGTATAATGTATAATAGTTGTAGTATAAGGGACAGTGGGTGAAGATAAATAGATCTACATGGTTATAAAACTTCTATACTTCATGTGAAGTGTTACAATATTATCTGTACCATACTTTGAATAGTTAAGGAAGTATACTGCAATCTCTTGGAGTATCAATAAAAAAGTGAAGATAAAATGCCTATGCATAAACTAAAATGGAATTTAAAAGGAGATGTTCAAAAACCTAAAAAAACACAGAAAGGAGAAAAGAGAAACAGAATATGGTAAGACAAACAGAAAATAATAAAGCAGTAGGCATAAATTCAGCCTAATCAGTAATTGCATTTAATATTGATATACTCAACATTGCAACAGTAAGACTGAATTAAAAGGTAAGCCCCAATACATGCTTTTTTATAGGATACCTAATAGATACCTAATAATAGGGTCTCAAAGTACATGAAGCGCAAAAGAGAAGAAATCAAGTTAGAAATAGGCAATTCTATAATGTTGGAAAAATTTAATGCCATTATCTCAGCAATTTGTAACATTAGACAAATATTAGTAAAATCATAAAGAATCTGATAAATGTCATCAACCACTTTTAATTAATGTTTAAAGTACAAAGAAGAAATGAATCAAATTATAAAGGAAAATCATTATAGAAATTTTAACTCACTTATCTTACAATTTAAATATCAAAGTAAAAATTAGCAAAAATTTAAAATTACAATTTCAAATTCAACTTTTATGTGACAGGAAATGTACATTCTTCTCAAGCACACTTATACTGTTATAGGAAATGCCTGGGCACTAATTATAAAACAAATCTCACTTTTGTAGAATTAGTATGATATCACACTCTCTGACTACAATTATAATCCATAATTTCTTAAGTTGAGAAATTTGAAAGTATATATCAGAGTAATTCCTACATCAAAGGAGAAATATAATAGGAATTAGATAAATACCTCAAATGGAATATTAATGAAAACTATATACCATTATTGAAATCATATATAAATACTAATAAGACACAGATAAAATAGCACTTAGCGAAAGATTTTATTCTACTAGAAAACAAAAAGTAACAAAATAAACTCAAAGATTATAGATAAATATGATAAAGGATAGTTCTGTCAAAATCTGCTTAACTATGTCATGGTGAGACAGCATAAATTTAATATAATTTAAATGTAATGAAAGACTAGATGGTAATGTTCTCAATAGAATTTTACCTGCATCAACAGAACAGCAGAATTGTAGAAAACAACCCAAAAATATGAAACATGAATATTATGGTAAGCATATGAAAGTGTCAAATGTTCAATCAAGCCAAAAAGAGTAAAAATGAATTTTGATATTATAATGAAGTAACTATAAAATTTATCAATGAATCATATTACACTTTTACATATAAAAGATAGGAGAATATGGGGAGACGGGGATAAAGGGAGTGTGGGGAACCTAGCATAGAAGCAACTACTTCATCCTGACTTACATGTATAGCAAATATGTCCAAGGTTTCCATAGTGGCAATCTCTAAACAAAGCATTTCTAAGTAAGCACATAAATTTAACATCTAAGTAAAGAAGTTAGGCTAAATGTTGCAATAATTTAATCCTTTATAGATGGAGCATGTGATTGTGGCTTTAAAAAATGGCAGACCATATAGACCCAATATAAACACAAGAAATATTGTGAAAAACAGGTCATGCTAAGAGGAGGTCACTAATGAGAGAAGGATGGCAAAAGAAGGAAGTTAACAAGGTGAATATAGTTAATATACTTCCTATACAAGAATGAATATAGAATTTTTAAACCTGTTGAAATCACCAAGGTAAAAAGGAGAAAAATAGAGGAAATGAAAAAATTTGGGTTATAATACAGATATACACAGAAATGTCACAGGAAACTCCCTGTATAGCTATTTAAACAAACAAAAAGTGTCATTTTATTTTTTACAAAAACAGAACAGGAGGGCAGAACAGGTCTTGCCTGGGGGGGTTGGTACCAGTGAGAGGGAGGAGGATATAGGGAGAGAGTGTAGGAGGGTGAAGATGGTGCAAATATTGTGTATACAAGTACACAGATGGAAAAATGAGATCTGTGGAAACTATTCCATGAATGGTGGAGAAGGGATAAAGGAGAATGATGGAGGGGTGAATCCAACTATGATATATTGTAAGAACTTTGGTAAATGTCACAATGTACAGCCAGCACAACAACAATAAATAAATAAGTTGATAGATAGATTAATAGATAGGTAGACAGATAATAGGTATATAGACAGATAGATAAAAAATGGCAGACCATTCTTAAATGTGATATAACAAATGAACAGAAACTGTAAACTACAATGTATTTGATTTACTGTTAGGTTTTGATCTCTCTACTTACAAATAATGAATAGTGTGAGGTAAACATGGAATTCAGATCACCACCAATATTATCTGAAATAATTTGGTTATCTGAATTATAGATATTAATACATTTGAATTTTAAAAATTCTACTTAGGTATACAGATCCAACAAAAATTTTCATTTAGGAGTAAATCCTCCTTTTAATATGGTAGTTAATAAGATGAATAAAACTGACAATTATATTCACAATCCTCATAATTTTGTGGAATCATGAGAGCAACGGTATTTAAGTGCAAGAATGTAGAAAAAATATAATACAAAGTAATACAGGAATTAGGTCTGAAAGTCAGCTATATATACAGTACCATTCTTTCTCTTGCTTCTCAACCTCTGAAATTGTTCTAACTTCCTATAACATATCTTCTAACTCAAATATATCAGTCATTCATTATCCATTTTTGGTCAGGAGAATCTTTATTAAGTATTAAAAAATAGGGAGGTAGGTTGGCAGAAAGAAGGAAGTAAAGCTGGAGGCATAATATAGGGATCTTAGAAAGTATAAAGAGATATTCAGGACCAGAAACAATGATCTATTATTACCTTTTTCTACAAAACACATTAATACCACCACTTTTATTTTAGCTCAAAGTACTGTACCTATAGATATTCTTTTGAAAGTGTATATCTTACCATGTGGAATAGTGGTCTGGAAAGGGCGACTTGGGCTTTTCAGATTCCATAAAGTCAAGCTACCATCTGAATGGCTGCACATGAACTGTTTGCCCTCATGATGCCAATCAATTGAATGAATAGCCTAATAAAATAACAAAAAAAGTGTAGGGTAGATATGTTATGTCATTATATATTCCCAAAGAAAAATATTCCGACATAACATCATTATGCTGGTACCATATTTTTTCTGACCTAGACCAGACAATCTTTGGTTCAATCCTCTGTAGATTTATGAAAGGCTACTAAAACATATCCTTAGATGAAGAAAAGTAAATTTCCTAAGATCATAAGATCCTAAAATATTTTATTGTAGATACTATGTCCTTCCTGTCGTAGCAGCGGAGGGGGAGAATTCAAGTATGACATATTTGATACATTTTAAGAAGCTTTGTAAATATTCAAATGTACTCCATCCATCGTAATAATAATAATAATAATGATGAAAGAAAATTTATATAAGCAAAAACAAGGTTATCAGAAGATAATTTCTTGTAAGATGAAGGCTTATTTCCAATTAAAAAATAATTTAAGCAAGAACTACCATCTAAATGCATTCTATGTGCCAGACTCCATGGTATTTTATATACATTATCTCATTTAATCATACGAAATATGTTTTATTTTTCCCAATTCATATATGGTGAATAGGCCTATAGAGGTTGAGATATTTGCTCAAGCCACACAACTCAAAAGCAAGAACCCTTTAAATTCAAAACCAGCATTCTCAACCATTGCATTGCACTTCCTCAAGCATATATTATTTGACTTAAATAAATATTTAAGTTAAAAAATTTAATTAAAAAGTTGTTTTTTAAGTCTACTTCGAAGTGCTAAGTTAGATAAGATTCAAAAGTAATTATAACATTTTCTTTAATTGTTGTATTCCCAGTGATGGCATAGTATCTAGCATAAAGCAGGTTTTTAAGAAATATCTATTGAATGGATAAGTAATTAATGATGCACACATTTCCAGTCTCAATATTTTTTTTTGCAGTACTGGGGCTTGAATTCAGGACCTATACCTTGAGCCATTCCACCAGCCTTTTTTTTTTTATGGTATTCTTCGAGATAGGGTCTCGTGAACTATTTTCCCAGGCTGGCTTCTAACCATGATCCTCCTGATTTCTGTCTCCTGCGTAGCTAGGATTACAGGTGTGAGCCACAAATGTCCAGCATCAATATTTTTGCCAAATCAATAAATTACCAGAATCTGGATAATGTACTAAGTGTAGTAGACAAAAGCAGGGCAAATGTATACATCTTTTCCTAATGAAACTTAAAGGGAAGAGCAATATAAATCAACATTAATCATATTGTTTAGAACTTTCAACACATGTACACATACACATATAGCTGATTTACAGATGTTACATATATACATATGTATAACATATACATGTTATATATATATATATATATATATAAGTATTATATAAGTCTAATAATAAGTATTATTAGACCTCCAGATAACTGATGACTAATCATTAAATACATTATAAAAGGGAACAAAATATAAGCTGTGCCTCAAAAGACAAATAAGATTTGATTGAATGGAAAAGATGACATGAAATGCTAGGCTTGCTTTTTCTTTTACCCTGGCCTTCATTACCATGCAGAGGAGACTTATTTGCCAGTCTCAGCAGGGCAGTTAGAGAGAAGACACTCTGTATCGCCTTTTTTGCTTATTTCTTTTCCCTTCTGTAGGTGGTTCAAGGGAAATGCCACTTGTTTTGCCTCCCCTACATGTTAACTTTGATGAACCTCAGTCGATTTAAAATTCTTTGCCACCAAAGGTGGAGGTAAAGAGATCAATCCTAAACCTTCATCCTATCCCAGTGAATTTCTATTCACTGGAGAGGACAGATAAAAAAAACTGTAGCAACAAAAAAGTCAAGCTAAGTACTATAAATGAAGTATATTTATAGTAAGAAGTATAAATATGTAAAATCAACTCTTTATTAAAGATAAAGAGGTCAAAAGTACATTAATTGAGGTGGTATTTGAACTGACTTGGTAGATATCCTGTTTTCATTTATTTAATTACACCCCACTGTTTTCTTTAAAAAAAAAAAAAGACTTTAAGGGCTCACTAAAAATGAAATATAATAGAACCAACTAAGAAGAAAAATTTTAGAATAACTGAATTTGAAAGATAAAACACTGGTTTATATTTGGTAACTCGGCGGCTGTGAGTGTGTCATGAAAATGGAAAAAAAAACAAAACACCAAAAGCTAGATAACAATCTGACAAAAGGAAATACAGCTCTTCATGAATTCATTAGAACATTTACCTTATGCAAATTCTGAAAGATTTCTCTGTGCAAGATCATTTAAGAAATATTGATGTAAGGCTGGTGGAGTGGCTCAAGGCTCTGAGTTCAACCCCACCATACCACTAATCTCCTCTCCTTCGAAAAAAAAAGCAGAAAAAAACAAAACACAAAACAAAACAAAAAACCCATTGATATTATGAAACAAAAATGTCACTGCTAATGTGGAAGTATTCTTTCATAGCTAATTATTTCTGAAAATGATCTTGTACTTCCAAAACAAAAATTTAAATGTCAATGAATATTCATCATGGGGCTAACTAGCTAGTCCAAGTAGCTTTACAATATCAAAGGAGCTAATAGGATTTTGATATACTGAACAGGCAAGAAGGGAGCTTATAATAAGAAATTAATAAGTACAAAAGCTTGGAGGTAAGAAATAAATGGTATGTTTAGGAAATTGTGAGTTATGTCTGAAATGTGGGGAGTATGCAGAAGGATGCAGTAAATTAAAAAGAAAAATCTCACATCAGGGAATATGGACTTTGTTTACAATTGGGAGTCATTCAAAGGTTCTCAAGTAGAGAATCACATGCTCAGGCTATGTTTTAAAACAAGAATCTTGTTATTTAGGTGTATACTGAAAGGTAAGATACTAGAAGAATGATTAACTAAAAGATTCCTATAATCCAGGTTTTAAAAAAAAATAAATTAACACATTGTATGTAGAAATTCTGTAAAGGTAATATTAGAAACGATGGGAGAATATACGAATGTAAATATAAATTGGAGGAGAGATGAAAAAGTAAAGACATATTAGCCTGAAAAGGATCTATAATTTTTATTTATTTATTTTTGAGATTGGTCTCACTATATATAGTCCAGGCCAGTCTCAAACTCCTAAGCTTAAATGATCCTCTCGCCTCAGCCTCCCAAGGAGCTAGGCATCCAGCTTGCATATCTATATGCATCACTGCATCCAGCTTGAATAGCTATAATTTAAAGGAGAGCTATGGGAGAAATCAGTGATGGAGGGAAAAAACATGATAAATGAGAATGCAAAGAAACAATTTTAAGAAGGGTTGGAGGTATAATGAGGAACTTAAAGACTAATGAGCCACTGGGTATAGCAGCATTGAGGAAAGCATTGGTAGCTTATGAGAGAACATTTTAGATAAGTATTAAAAACAGATTCTAGATATGAGAGGTAAAGTTCTGGTGAAAGTTTGAAAATCTCTGCAGTAAAATGAAGTATATGATTACCTATTAAAATGATGGACATACAAATATGCACTGAAGTAGACAAACACTTGATAGATTTATATACATATATCCAGTAAATATGCAAAATAAATTCTATATATAAATTAGGTATACTATTGTACTCCACTAACATAGGCTGTCACTAATATTTATTTAAAAATTCCAATGAAAAATTATTTTACTCACTTTTTTAGGTTGGAAAAATTCCTTTCATACTTTTTAGCCCAGAGGAAAACTAGCTATTTCAGCATTTTTCTCTATGTTCCCTTTTTGGTTGGTCTACTCTAAATGCAATTGGCTAGATGTTCATACAGCATTTGGACTTTTAGATGACTGTTAGTCTTGAGAGAAAAAGAACAATATCCATACTCACCTTTATTCTGTGGATTTTAAATGATAACAAAACCCTAGCTTAGCTCCTTAGAATCTTTTTCTCTTATGATTCAAGAAACCCTAGAAGTTGATGTGAAGAACATATTTGTATGACATTTGCCAGGTTATTTGTCATGAATTATGACCAAATTATTCAGGTGTATCATTTACTTCTAAACTCTTTACCACTATAACTGTCTCACATAAACCATAAAAATCTTAGTTTGAGAGAACTGCTAAGAAATGAATTGTGGAGTTTATAAGGTAGGTTAAAGCCTTATGTCTTTATAAGACATCAAAACTTTAATAACTTTAACTGTTATGAGGGGATGAGAAAGAACATGCAAAGTATCCTAGAGTGACTACAGGGTCATTAGGCAACATTTTTTATTCCTCTAGTGATAAAATGAGGAAGAGCTCTTCTAAACGAAATGAGTGTAGAGTTCTTTTTATTTATTTCCATACTGCCTTAAATTATTTAACACTCTACTGATATATAGGTGGACTGGATATTACTAGACACAGATTTTTTTACTTGTATTTTCCTCCTTTCTCTCTCTACTACTACCATTTTTCAAATTTAATTGCCTTCATTTTTCCATAGCTACAAGAAGTAACTCCCCTTTTCACCTTTCACCCCAGTTCTGCTGAAGGGAGAAATAATTAATGGCCAGGAATCAATCACTGAACTAATGGTGTCAACTGGGAGGCTACTCCTTGATAAATAGGAGTTTGTTCCTTCTGTTAAGGGAAAATCTAATAAAGGCTCAATTATATACAATAAAATTTACATCAAGAACTTATTGTCACTTATTAAGTGTTACTATTCATAAAACCTCTCTTTATTCTATGAAGGCAAGTATTAGAAGAAAAGGCTTTTCAAACTGTCTTAAACTTTTAGCCACAGGAAATGAATTTTCTAAGGAAGGTATGAACAGTGTTTTTAGAGACCTTAAGAGCAATGAGCAAGATATAAGCATGGAACCTAGACGAAACAAAAGGAATTAAGACAAAATTGGGGACACAGCATGGGTGACAGGAACCAAAATATAAAGTTGCACAAGGGAAGAAGGAGACAAAAGCTGGCAGTCAAGGTGGAATTCCCATTCAGAAAAATAATTCAGAGTTGAAATTTGTGCAAATACAAAAGACCATGTGAGACACTGAGACAGAACCAGGTAGATTTCCAATGATAAAAATATTTGTAAAGTACAAAGCTTAAGAGTAAAAAAGAGGCACAAAGTCACAAAATTCCTTTCAAATATTTTTCAGTAGAAATCACTTACCTCATCATAGTAAAGTCTCAGTTCTGCTCGTTTAGATTTCAAGTCCCAGAATACTACAGTACCATTTTCATAACCTATTAACAGCTGGAAAACATTAAAATAATAATTTTCTTAACTCTGACATTAATTTGAACTAGATTCAAAAAAGAATAATGTTAATAAAAATACAACATAACTGTCTTTAAAATACCAAATTTTCTAAAACTTTAATATGTTTAACACATTTTAAAACTTTTTTTACCAGAAAGAAATTTTTATGTGTCAATTAAAAAATTTTAAGTGGTGAATAAGCTTTACTTCAATACGCACATTTATCAATGAGCTCATTTTTTTTTTAACTCAAGGCTTTGTGCTTGCTAGGCATACCTCAAGCCCCACTATACCACATTCTAAAGAATGAGGAAACATGTAAATATGTATGACACAATATAAACATAAGTATGAAAACTGAATATAAAAAGAGATAAAAGACGAAGATTAAAAAAAGATGAAATGGGATGTCTAAGCAACTATTACTATTCCATTTGTTCCTAAGCAACTGACAAATATGGCCAAAAATTTGGCTTTCAATTTCCTCATATCAAGTCCTAATTATTTGGCTGAAGTGACTTTTAAACTAATGACTTATGAACCCTCAGAAGTTCACAAAGTTCTTCCAGTACTTCACATCTTTAACAATGGCTGATATTTGTTTTTAGGTCCATAAATAAGGTAATTTAAAAAATAGTTTTCTTAAAATAGAAAATTTTGAGGACAGGTAAAAATTTGAACATTAGGTCATTAAAGTAATGGATAGTTGTTTTTAAGCAATAGCATACTTAAATGTTTATGACACCACACACAATAATTTTAAAGTTGATTTGACATAAATTTTGAGCTTCTTAACATGACAACAAAGTAAATGATCTGCTAAATTCAGAAAGGTCAAAATAAAATATATAGTTAAATAATATTCTTTAAAACAACTCACATAAAGTCATATGTACTGTACTAATTTATATTTTAAGTTCAAATTAATTCTTCTTACATATCAGGCAAAATTATCAACAATAAGATCAATTTCTATTGAGTATATGAGACTATGGGGAACTGAGGTTTGTTGGTCTAAGTAGTTCAGGAAATTTCACTCAAGCAAGAAAATGAATAATATAACCATTCCAAATTTGAGCCACAAGATGTAGTAGTCTTGTTTTAAAATACTCTCATATTTTTTCAAAGTAAATATCTGAAGGATAAAAGTTGCTTTGTATATAAAATATTTAAGTAATAGCCCCAGAAAGTGATAAAATATAAACAATCTAGCATCAAAACTTTGTAAGTTGTTGAGATAAATATATAAGATTATAACGCAGAAAATATGACATTAAAATCACTTAGACGAGGAAAAGAAAAGCATTTCCTGATATCCAGGAGACATCAGACAAAGTCATTCTGTAACCATGAAGGACTATGACAAAAACAAGACCACTATGCAATCATATCTGACCACAAAAAAAAATTTACAATGTGCAAGCTACAAATCATGTATATGTATATGCATATATAACATATGAAATGATTTTTGAAAAAAATGTCTCTTACAATAGAACAAAAGTGCCATAAAGGCAAAGAAGTAGGGTGACTTGTTCATTATTATATCATCAGGATCTGGACCTGTGTCTGAAGAAAATAGCTATTTGATAAATATTATTAAATTCCAAATAAGCAAAACTGTGTTAACACAGTGAAGCAAAATCAGAACTCATTGATATGTATATTTTGTAAACTAAAACAAAAATCTCTAAATAGTTAATAAGCAAGAAGAAATCATCAGAAACTGAAAGAACTGAACAAAAATATCTTACTTTGAAACTTGTGAGACACAAATGAATCTAAGTTGGGATAGATTTATAGTTTGTAAGTACATGTTAAAAGAGGGAAAAATTAAAAATGATTCATGATTTAAGCATTTGATTATTAAAAGTCAAAAAAAACTTCAGAAAGAAAAAATAATGAGATATCCAATCCAAGAACAAAGGATGCCTTTCATTTATTCAAGTACACTTTCATATGTTTTAGGAAGTAAGTCCAACTACAGAAATTATACCCTTAAAAACAGATAATGAAAAAAAGAGACCATATAAAGTAGCAGCAAGGGTAAAATAATAGGAATAATGTTAGCCAGAAAATCGATTATGTAGAAACTTTGAAACTTCCTAAAAGATGAGATAGTATACTTGAATAAATGAAAACCATCCTTCACTCTTGGATTAGATATATCACTATTTTTTCTTTCTGAATTTTATTTTTTTGACTTTTAAAAGTCAAATGCTTAATTAATATTATTGATTAAAATTTTCATAACTTTGAGTAAGTTAACAAAGTTCAGATTTATGAAGTTTTCTTTCTTTTCCTAAAAACCAAGAGACTTTACTTATCATCAGGGGAAGGTGAATTTTATTGAATGCTTCTAAAATATCTAGGTTATTGTCATTTCCCCCTTATTTCTTTTATTATGTGAATTGTGTTGATTTTTAAAAGGTAGAACCAACTAAATTCTTAGCATGAAAATAACTGGTTGTAATCCTTTGTACCTTCTCATTATTATTTATTTATTTATTTTTGGGACAAGATCTTGTTATGTAGCCTACACTGGCCTGAAACTCATGATCCTCCTGCCTCAACCTCCCAAGTGCTGGATGACAATGTAGTTTTGATTTGCATGTGCCTGATGGCTAAAGATGTTAAACATTTTTTCATGTATTTTTTTGCCATCTGTATTTTTCATTTGAAATTTTTCCGTTCAGTTCTTTAGTCAATTTAGTCATTGGGTCATTTGCTCTTTTGTTTTTTTAATTTTTTGGACTCTGAATATTCTGAATATTAATGCTCTGTTCAATGAATAACTGGCAAAGATTTTCTTTTATTCTGAAGGTGGTGTTTCATTCAGCTATTTCCTCTGCTGTATAGAGGTTTTTAATTTGATGCAATATCATTTCAATTATTGTTATTTCCTGAGCTATTTACAAAGCCCTTACTATCTTGAAGTATTTCCTCTGTTTTTCTCTAGGAGTTTCAAAGTTTAAGGTCTTATATATACTTGTGCTCATTTTTATAGAGTGAGAGACAGGCATCCAGTTTCAATCTTCTGTAGGTGAATATCCGGTTTTCCCAGCATCACTTATTAAAGAGGCTGTCTTTTCTCCAAAGAATGTTTTTGGCACCTTTGTCAAAAATCAAATAGGTGTAGCTGTATGAATTTATTTCTGGAGATATTATTCTATTCCATTGGTTTAGAGATGTCTGTTTTGTGCCAGCATCATACTTTTTTTTTTTTTGCAATGACTGTAGTGGAGTTAAGATTAGGTACTATGATACCTGAAGCCCTGCTCCTTCTGCTCAGGATTGCTTTGGCTGTCCTGGGTCTTTTATGCTTCCATATAAATTTTAGGGTTATTTTAATCTAGCTTTGTGAATAATATCATTGGAATTTTGATGGGGATTGCACTGAATATACAGATTACATTTGATCATTTGACAGTCTTCATTATATTCTGCTGATCCATGACCATGAGGAGTCTGTGCACACTCTAGTGTCTTCCACAATTTCTTCATTGAATTATAGAGGTCTTTAACACCCTTAGTTAAGTTTATGCTTAGGTATTTTATTTCTTTTTTTGAAGATATTATGAAAGGGGTGTTTTCTTACTTTCTTTTTTCAGGGAGTTCATTATTGGTGTATAGAAAGCTGCTTATTTTATGTTGATTTTGTATCCTGCTATTGTGCAGAAAATGTTTGTCACATCAAAGAGTGTTCTGCTTGAGTCTTTAGGGTCTTTTAACTATGCAATCATAATATCTATGGAAGGAATACTTTTATTTCTTCCTTTCCTATTTATATTCCTTTAATTTCTTCCTCTTGCCTTACTGCTGTGCAAAAGATTTCAATCTCTATATTGAACAAAAGTGGAGAGGATGGCACTCTTGTCTCATTCCTCATTTTACAGGAAATGCTTTCAGTTTTTCCCCATTCAGTGTAATGTTTGCTATAGGTCTGCTATATATAACCCTTATGATGTTGAGGTAGGATCCTCCCATTCCTAATTTCTTCAGCAATTTTACTGTAAAGGGATATTGAATTTCACCAAAGTATTTTCTCCATCTGTTAAAATAATCATGTGATTTTTTTGTCCTTGACTCAATTCATGTGCTCTATTATGCTTATTGAATTGCATATGTTGAGCCATCCTTGCAATCCTGGTATGAAACCAAGTTAATCTTAGTGTATGATGTTTCTAGTGTGTTACTGAATTTGGTTTCCAAGGATTTTATTGAGAATTTTTGATGCCATGTTCATCAAGGAAATAGGTCTATAGACTTCTTTTCTGTTGACCCTTACTCATATCAGGGTAAAAGTAGCTTCACAGAATGACTTTGAGAGCATTCATTTCCTTTCTAGTTTAAAGAATAGTTTGAGAAGCATTTATTTCATCCATGGCCAAAAGTGGAATATAACACAATAAGCAAACGGCATATGAAAGAAATGGAATCTGGAGTAGCTATACTTATATTTGACATGGTAGACTTCAAGCCAAAGTCTTGGGCTTTTCTTTCTTTCCTTACTATTTTAATCTCATTGTGTGTTACTGATTTGTTTAGGGTTTCTATATCTTCACAGTCTATTTTTGGTAGGTCAGATGTGTCTAGAAATCCAGCCATTTCTATTAGGTTCTCTATTGGAGTATAATTTTTCAAAATAGCTCCTAATCATCCTCTAGATTTCAGTAGTATCTATTGTGATATCACCTTCTTCACCTCTAATTTTATTAATTTGGGTCTTCTCTTTATTTTGGTTAGTTTGACCAAGACTTTGTCAATCCAGTTCATGTTTTCAAAGAGCCAACTCTTTGTTTCTTTGATGCTTTGAATTATTATTTTGGTTTTCCTTTCATTAATTTCAGCTCTGAACTTTGTTTTTTATTTCCATCCACTAATTTTTAGGATTGGCTTTTTCTTGCTTTTTAAGACCTTGAGGTGCACTCTTAAGTTATTTATTTGAGATCTCCTTGATTTTTAATGTAGGCACTCATAGTGCTAAAACTCTT